TCACAAACCCAAACAGGCACCCTAAATGGAGAGATGAAAAAACAACCCCCAATGAAAAGAACAAGAGAATTCTCCAATAGCAGAGATAAGTGAAATGGAGATAAGAAATTCATTTGATACAGAGTTCAGAATAATGATGGTAAAGATGCTCAACAGCATGAGAAAAGATATAGTAAATATGAAAAAGAAGAGTCGGAAATAAAGATTGACAGAGCACTAATAAAGAACACATTGGAAGGAATACACAGCAGATTAGGGGAAGCTGAGGATGAGATCAGTGAATTAGAAGATGGTAGAAAAAAATCACTCAATTAGAGAACCAAAAAGAAAAACAATTAAAAAATAAGAGGACAGTTTAAGGGAGCTGTGGGACAATGTGAAACGTAACAATGTTCGCATAATGGATGTGCTAGAAGGGGAAGAAAGTGAGAAAGGGATAGAAAACGTGTTTGAAGAAATAATGGCAGAAAACTTCCCTAACCTGGTGAAGGAAAAAGTCGCACAAGTTCAGGAGGCCCAGAGAGTCCCAAGCAGGAACCCAAAAAGGCCCTGGCCAGGACACATCATAATTAAAATGCCAAAAATTAAAGAGAAAGAATCTTAAAGGCAGCAAGAGAAAAGCAATTTGTTACCCACAAAGTAGCTCCCATAAGGCTGTCAACTGGTTCCTCATCAAAAACTCTACAGGCCAGAAGGGAATGGCAGAAGTATTCATAGTAAAGAAAAGCATGAATCTGAAACCAAGATTACTATATCCAGCAAGGCTATCATTCAGAATAGATGGTGAAATAAACAGCTTCCCAGACAAAAAAAAGCCCAAGACAGTTTATCACTACCAAGCCAGCATTGCAAAAAAAGCTAAAGGGACTTCTGTAATAAGAAGAAATAGAGAAACCTAGGCATACAGGATTAAAGTGGCAATAAATAAGTACCTATCAATAATAACCTTAAATGTAACTGGATTAAATGCTCCAATCAAAAGATATAGGGTAGCTGAATGGATATAAAAATGACCCAACTATATGCTGTCTACAAGGGACCCACCCCAGAACAAAAGACTCACATACGATGAGAGTGAAGGAATGGGAAAGATTTTCCATGTAAAAGTAAACAAACAAAAAAAAGCTAGGGTGGCAATACTCATATCTGACAAAATAGACTTCAAAATGTAAGCCATCACAAGAGACAACAAAGGTCACGACATAATACTAAGGGATCAATCCAACAAGAGGATATAACCCTGGTAAACATATATGCACCCAATATAGGAGCACTTAAATATATAAAAAAAAACTTATAAGGAACTTTAAGGGAGAGATCGACAGCAATACAGTTACGGTAGGGGACTTTAACCCCCTGCTGACTTCACTGGATAGATCATCCAGACAGAAAATGAAGAAGGAACCAGTGACTCCAAAGGACTCACTGGATGAGATGGATTTAATTGACATTTATAGAACATTTCACCCCACGGCTGCAGGATACACATTCTTCTCAAGTGCACATGGGTCATTCACAAAGATAGACCACATGTTAGGACACAAAACAAGTCTCTACAAGCGTCTTCCCAGATCACAGTGTTAGGAAAGCAGAAATCAATTACTGTCAAAACAGCCCCAAGCATTCCCCCACGCAGAGGCCGTGCCTGGCCCGTGGAGGCAGTGCAGAGTTTGAAGGGGCTTCGGTTTAAGTGAGTGAGGCTAGTGACCCTGCCCAGTAGTTCACTCACTTGCTTCGCTTACAGGTGCTTGCAGAGTTATTCCTACGAGGGTATTTAGACGCGGTCAGGTTCTTGGAAGAAAACGGTATGTGTGGCCTGGGGGGCAGATGAGCACTTTTCTTTTTTTTTTAAAATATGGTTTTATTGATTTCAGAGAGAGGGAGGGAGAGGGAGTGGGAGAGAGAGAAACATCAATGATGAGAGAGAATCCTTGATCGGCTGCCTCCTGTATGCCCCCTGCTGGGCATTGAGCCCGCAATTTGGGCACGTGTCCTGACGGAATAGAACCGTGTTCTACTGGTTCATGGGTTGATGCTAACCACTGAGAGCACTGGCCGGGCCAGATGTGCCCTTTTCATCAGCCGTTTGTTAGCAGCCTTGGTGAGCGCCAGGTGATGTGACATCACGTGGTGCTCCCCACCTTCACCATCTGTCGGGCTCAGCCCTCCAATGAGCTCCGCTACATAGGAACCCTCTGCCCCATTTTACAGGTGGGGGAATGGAGGCTTGGAGAGGCGAGCCAGGGACCACGCTCCACCCACTGAGGGGCAGAGCTGGGATGGGAACCCGGGATGTCTCTGCTCCAGGGCGCTCTCCCGGCACAGTGTCCCCTGTTAGTTTCACAAGGGCTTTCAATGGCCCAATGGTCTGGGCTCAGGGAAGCACTCGGAAGGCTTTGGGGAGGCCACCCCCCTCCCTGGGCCTGTTCCCGCCTCTGTATTGAGGGGATTTGGGATGCAGGTACGTCCAGGTGATTCCTGGTCATTGTAAAGACTGGCACGTGGCCAGCGCTTGCAGGCGCGGTGCCGTGTTGGGGTCAGATATGTGAGCAGGTCCTCAGGCAGCTGGTCCCTGGGGTCCTGCAGAGGAGTCGTGGGCGGCGGGGGGCAAGTGATGTCCTCCCGGAACAGATCTGTACCTAGGGCAGGTGATGACCCAGAGGGTGAGCAGCGTGTCTAAGGGAGGCCCTGGGAAAGATCGAGAGAGAAGCATAAAGGGGAGGGTAATCTAGGAGCACCGAGGGGCGTTCGGGGCAGCCCCTGGTCTTTGTAACCTGAGGATGGAGGCAACAGGTGAGCCAGGGCAACCGGGGCCTCTAAAACTACTGTCCCTCCCCCCACCCCACCCCAGAGCGCCTCCACCCTGTGCGCCAATTCCGAGGGAGCTGGGAGCCCCTGTGGTGTTGGCTACTGCGCCCCAACTCCTGGGGCAGCACCCCCACCCCCCGACATACACACACACTCCCATGCCTAATACTGCTTTCAGGGTTGTGTGGTGGAAGAGGGCCATGACTGATGTCAGGCCTGGGTTCAAATCCCACTCTGCCCCAGACGGGCTGTGTGGCTGTGGATGAGTCTCTTAACCTCTCTGTGCTTCCCATTCCTCAGCTGAAAAGGGGAGACGCTGATGATAGTAGCAGTTGAATGGCTGCTGCAAGGCCTGGCTGGGGCGTTCCTATCAGGGCCGGGGACATAGGCTCCACCAGCGGCGCCACAGTCAGTGCACATTAGCTGTAGTCACCTTTCCCTCCCCGGCCACAGTGGCTGTGCGGCCCACAGTGAGTGCGTGACGGAGCCAGGAGTTCGGGTGCGTGACGGAGCCAGGAGTTCGGCTCCTTTCACTGTGGCTTGAAGCCCGTTGCCCTCGTCCGTCCCGCCTGCTACTGAGCTGATCCGTCCCGCCTGCTACTGAGCTGATCCCAGGCCTGCAGTGTCCAGTGGCTGCTGGCCTCCTGTCAAGGTGGGTGGGTGTGTGAGTCATGCCCCCTGTCTCCGTGCCCCGCGTAGGCATCTGTGACAGGCCCCGTCCGAGCCCGAGTGTGCCCTCGGCAGCGCCCGAGTTCCTTCCGTTCTCCTGGGAAACCGCGAGCCCCGAGGCTTCGCCGGGGGCGGCTGCCTGGCAGAGGAGGCCCGAGGTGGCCGAGCTGCTGGCCCACCTGCGTGTCAGCCTCCTGCCCTGGGACGAGAGCGTCCTGGAGACACTGCCGCCCACGCTCATTGCAGGTGAGACCCTCTGGCGGGACAGCAGGGCGTTGCTTTCTGCTGCTGAGACTAAGGGGGCTTCTCTGGCGGGTTGGGGAGGAGGGTGATGCTGCCACGGGGAGGAGACGAGGCCCCACCTCCTGGCACCATCTCCCCACGCAGGCGCCTTGCTCCTGGCACCATCTCCCCACCCACGGCCAGAAAAAGCCACACTCCCGGTGAGCCCGTTGGGAGTTACGCAGGCATGCGCCCAGTTCCTGGGTCCGGGCGCACCGGATTTGGGGGCCCCGAGGGTGGGCCCCTTCTTCCAGAACACCATTCTCTGCCTGGGCCCCCGTCTCCACGCCTTCTTTCTGGAGGAGCCTGTCTGCCTCCCCCTGCCCCGAACCCTCAGCTTTGAACTTGTCCTTGAGCGACGGTAGTGCATTTGATCATGTCGTCAGGCACCAGATGGGCCAGGAGTGCACACCAGATGCATTCGGGCACTGGGAGAAATTCAAAGATAAGCAAGACGCTGGTGCCCAGGTTGCTACGATTTGAGGGTCCTGAGGCCACGACGAAGGGGAAACAGAAGCCAGGGCTCCAGGCAGAAGAGGGGGTGTTGGGAAAGCCCGTAAGGCGGGTGGGGTTGGGGGTCGGTGTCTCCTCCAGGGAGAGCTGCCAGTGGGACAGTTGATCCGGGGCCCGTGGCTGTCCCAGGGCTGTTCTGGCCGCACTCCCTGCTCCATGGCATGGGCCCGGCTTCTGATTCTTTGGCAGCAGGATTTGTGTGTCTCACTGGAGTTGCAGGCAGCACCTGGGTGAGGTTACACTGGGGGGACGCCCCTCCCCCCAATGGTATCTTTCAGGCCTGAGTGAGGCACTTAGACCCCGAGGTGGCTGCTGGAGCAAGATCTGCAGGTTCCTACCGGTGAAGGTCATGTCTTACGTGATGCTGCCGTGTACGCTGCCCGTGGAGTCCGCGCTTGCCATGGCCCAGAGGTGAGCGGTGTGGGTGGCTTCGTCTGCGCTGGAATCCTGGGTATGTGCATTACTCAGCTTTCTTCAGATGGACTTGGGTGTCTCCTTTCTTTTTAGTGAGTTAAGCCAGCATGTCCTTCAGTCCATCTTCTAAAGTCCAACCGTCCTTCAAAATCCAGCTCTGTGGTCCCGCCCGGGATGGACCTTTCTTGGTCCCTCCCGCCCGAATGAATGAGCCGCCTGTTCCCACGCGCCTGCCCTGCGTGGAGGCCCAGGCGTGGGGTCCTTTAGTGTCCACGGCCGCGGAGTCTGTGGAGGCCGTGGTCAGGCTTCCTCTGCTGGACTCGCACGTGGCCAAGGGCAGTCGGGCTCGTGGAGCGGGCGGTGTCTCCACTCCAAGCTCCAGGCATCTTGAATCTGGGAAAACCAGGCTTCTCCTTTAATTGCCACGTTAATCCCTCGAGCTTTCCTGAATCAAAAGTGGCCTAACTTTGGTCCCTGGCCACTTTTTCTCAGTGGTTAGAGTGAAGGGTCCCGGCTTCGATTCCAGTTAAGGGCACATACCTCGGTTGCGGGATCCCCGGTGCATGGATAGTTCTCAGTTTTTCAGTCTCCCCCCCTCCCTGCCACACTCCGAAAATCAGTGGAAAGAATATCCTCACGTGAGGAGTAACACGCACACAGAGGGGCCTAAATCCACCTCGTGAGAATTGATGGGGTTGGAAGTAGAAGTGCGCCGGCAGTTGAGCGGGACACGGAGTGTTGCTGTAAGCTCGCTGCCTGTTGTGCAGCTTTTGTTTGGCTCTCTTCATTTTGACTCGTCTTCCTGCTGACACGGGTGTGTGTGTGTGTGTGTGTGTGTGTGTGTGTGTGTGTCTGTGTGTCTGCGCAGACTGGTGCAGTGGCTCCCCGACATTCCTGACGACGTCCAGTGGCTGCAGGCCATAACTTCCCAGGTTTGTTCTCGACTGATGACGCACCTGCTCCCCACGCTCAGGTAAATGATTTGTGTGGGCCCGATGGGCACCCCTTTCACCTGATCAGGCCTGTGGGCCCTTCTAGAACCATGGTGGGGCACCCAGTAGGTGACGAGGAGCGTATCTTTCAGTGCAGGGGCGCTGTCCTGTGTGAGGCAGCCGAGTAAGTCAGCGGAAAGCTCGCCACGCCCACCGGCACAGGGGCTGCGGGGCCCAGGGGGCGCGGGAAGGCCTCGCATTGGGCCCAGATTGGATGGAGAGCTGAGCGGGGCAGCGGGGACGCGTCCCCGTCAGAAGGGTCAGGAGCATGGCTTTGCCTCTAGGAAGTCGCTCTGGGTGCCTGCAGCGCCGGGTGGGGTGGGGCTTCGGGGGCCTGGCGGGGTGTCACGTTAACACGGATTCCTTCTGACCTCAGACTTTCGGAGTCCTAGGCTGGTGGTGGAACCCCGAAGTCCAGACTGAAGCATGGCCTGGTGGCGTGGCTGCTCTGAAATCGGTCCCCGATGCGCAGCCAGGAGGGCCTTGTTCTGGTTCCGAGGGCTGATCTTATCCTGAAAATCCTGGGTCTTGGCTTTCTCTGCTCAACGGCGGTTCCCCGCTCCTCCTCTGGGCTTCCGTGAGACACTGGGCACCCCTGGCCCAGTACTGGACGGGGGTGGGCACTCAGGAGGCGGGGCCTCTGTTGCTACTGCTATTGGCAGGCATGGGGGGTTAAAAGTGGGGGTGGCAGGCTCCGGTTTGCAC